ATTACTGCTTATAGTCTTACTACCTCTACCACTATAGGATTTGAATCGACAACTGCATCTCTGTTCTAATGTGGTGTGGTAACTCGAACTGATGTACGTACGTGCGAAGTTCTACATTGTTACTGACTGACTGACTGCTCGTTGTTGATGTTCAAGACTTCAGTTAATCAATTTCTTTTGATATATGTATATGTTGAGTGGAAGTGCCTCAATATTACCAGATATTCACAAGTATTTAAGTAAAGTTGGATAGTAGCTATCAGTAGAATTCAAGAAGCGCTTTTCTTTCTATTTAGGACTTGTATCACAGTGTTATTGTTCACATTGGGACTCTAAGCTGTCATTTTTCATTTCAACTGACTAACGCATCATTCACTGAATTATTAAATTCATTTGTATTGAATTACTTGCGATTTTATAAGAATATTGAGGCAATCAGTTCAGTATTACATACATCCCAAAGAATATTGATCATCGTTATCAAACGCTTATAAATAAGTAGAAATGCATCCCTGTTTCATAAACTAAAGTTTATTTAGACCCAATAACGTTTTGTTTACATTGACATTAGGTTTGAGTCTCGGTGTAAACATCAACACTGAGATCTAGGTACATACAACTGACGAGTCTCGAATAATACGAATTACCAGTCTTAATTTCTCGTACTAGTAACTATCCATTTTTTCACTTAAGTAGAGTTATAAAAGTTTACTATTATTGGTAGCGTTGCCATCATCAACTTGTTTGATGATTTTTTTTTTGACAAAACGATTACATATTCTACTCTGATGTATACACTATTGAATTACGTACACACACACACATGTATATCAACTAAAGATGATGACGTTGATGATCATATACATCAATCTTACAAAGATACAAATATTGACAAAAATATTCATCAATAGATCAATTATCAATGTTCTTTTAATTCATAGATTAAAATCACATGTTCTTCTTGTGCATTTTACATTTGATCTAAATTTTTTAATTTTATTCATCAATAAACATTGATTATATACGAATTCTTTTGTTTTTTCTCAATCATCTTCGTAGATGTTGTTGTTGTTGTTTTGAAACAATTTCATAAGTTGTTCAATTCCTTATGATTACTGTATGTGATTAAGATCATAGCAACAATAAAATACATACATATTAATTAGTCTAATCTCTGCCTTATCTTACTCTAACTCTCTGTCTCTCTCTCATTCACCCCTATTTATTACAATTTTACTACTAATTATGTCTTATTTGTTAAGTTGTCAAAGAAACAGCAAAAACCAACAAGAATTCAGTTATTTTCAATGTCATATGATTTAAAATGTGAATCAATTAATGAAATAGAGCCTTAGTGATTACATAAATACGTTATTACTAATTCATTACTATTAATTGAAATAGAATTTGTATTCATTTCGAAGAACTACAGTTGATTAGTTTAATTTCTTTTCTTTGTATTTTGAGTAGAGATTACTTCAATATTGTTATTTAGTAACCGGGTCTGTTGTAAGATAGTAACTCGCTGATGACAATGGTGGATGTGTCGCTTAATTTCGTGGATTATTTAAAGTTAGACATAAACACCGTTGGATGCTGGCCAGTTCAGTGGTCCAGTAACTAAGCGTTCGCGCGTGAAACTGATAGGTCCTTGGTCCGAATCCCGCGAGGCGGGGTCGTGGATGCACACTGCTGATGAGTCCCACAATAGAACGAAACGGTCGTCCAGTGCTTTCAGGTTTCTCATGTTGGTCTAGCTTCAAGTGACTCATGATTTCAACTAATGAAATTACTACAATCTCCACAAAACCCCTTCTGAGAATTCTAATTTTCATACACAGTATTCTATTAGTTGACTTTAATTTTCTTTTTTTTGTTTTTTAGTTGTTATCTAACATTTCTGAACTGATACTGTATTTTAATCTTATTGGTTCATATCACTAATGATGTATTTGTTTAGTTATTGAGATTATTATTTTATGCATGATGGCAAATCAGTTGATGAGGTTGTAAATCTTCATCGACTGAGATGGTTGGGCCACGTGTTACGTATGCCTGAACATCGTTACAACCACGTGCTCAAAGTTTCAGTGTTAGGACCCCTAAGAAACTACTTGCTTCGGTTCGAGTTCTCGGGGAGTATTCCAACCCTCACATTAATCGAATGATTAGTGTGGCACATATATATTTGGCGCCTTTTTGTATCTGTTTATAACAATAATAAATAAATGTCATACAATAGATTAAATAATTATGTAAGAACTCAAGATGAACTAGTGCATATTATCTCTGCTTAGTTCCATAATTCTAACTAAGTAAACTAAAGAGTATTGAACGTATTATTATAACATATGGTTAAGGTTTTCTTAAACTTAAAAGCATCTAAACTTTACAGTTAGTAATGTACTTTACCACATATTCTTTAAGTTGAATGTATTTTTTCAACAATTTACAGGTGGTCATCTATTCATATTTACTCCTATGTAATGATAAAATATATTCTTTTTTCGGTGATATTTCAATGAGTAGAAAATTGTATTTCTAATGTTTTGAGACTTAAATTAAGCCACTTCTTCAGAGTAAATAAACAACTCACATAAAATTAACATAAATTTAAATAGTAAAAAAAGAAGAATGAATGAAGAATATTTTTAGTATTCTTATGTATTTGAGAAAATCTCCACAAACTATTTTGGTATTATATGTAGTGCGTTGTGGTATAAAATATTGTTGTATAGATATACCGTTTATCAATCTTTCTTGGCTACCTCCTCTAGTTGATGTCGTAGAGATAGTATAACTTATCAGTTTAAGATTTTGCTAGTTATGGGTTAGAATAGAATCTAATGACAGTCTTATTCCAGTTTTGTTATGTTACACGATGTCCTATTCTGATATTAATACACAAACTTTATATACACATGTCCAACTAACTACTAAGTAAGAATCTTGGAAGTGAGAATATATTTATCTATCTTTGTCCCTTAGAAAATTAAGTCAGATCTTGACCAATAGCATGCACTTATCATTTGATTGACTCAAAGTATTAGGTTGATTGTTATATTATTCATGTAAATAAAATGAATTTTCTTCAGATAAAATAAACTATTTTCAATTTCACTTCAAATGAATCATATCCTTCCTCTATCAATATTTCCCTATTGTTTCCCTTTACAATATTATCATTTTGTTTAGTATAGCGTTTAACTATTCTAGAATAACAATGATCTTTAACTGTAGAATCAGTTAACTTGAATTATATAACTAATTTATTCATGCTTTATTAGTCAATCTTACTTACTTACGCCTAATAACCCTCATCGAGGAGCACAGGCCACCCACCAGCATTCTTCATCCAACTCTGTCCTGGGCAATCCGTTCCAGTTTTTATTCATCATTTTCATATCTACTTCTATTTCCCGACGTAATGTGTTCTTTGACCTTCCTCTTTTCCGCTTCCCTTCAGGATTTCAAGTTAGGACTTGGATCCTGATGCCTTTGATAATTTCCGTAATATATATCCTATCCACTTCCGTTGTCCTTTCTTAATTTCCTCTTCAACTGGAAGCTGCTTTGTTCTCTCCTATCGAAGGCTGTTGCTGATGGTATCCGGCCAATGTATGTTGAGTATCTTGCGTGAACAACTATTTATACATACTTGTACCTTCTTGATGGTGGTTGTAGTAGTTCTCCACATTTCAGCTCCGTACAATATGACTAACTGTCTTGACGTTTGTATTAACGATTCTGACTTTGATATAGGCTGACAGTTGTTTGGAGTTCCATATGTTCTTCAATTGTAGAAATGCTGTCCTTGCTTTACCAATCCTCGCATTTACGTCTGCATCTGATCCTCCTGTTATTCAAACTACTGTGACACTAATTTGTCATCGTGCTGCTGGATTATAAAGTCTATTCAAAATAAGATCTTTCTACCTATTGATTGGTCATATTCAGTCCTGTACTTTTAATAAACAAGTTTAATTTGACTTTACCAAGGTCATCTTGATATCATGTAAAAAAAAAGCTTATTAACCCATTCCCGTTTGATCAACTTCTCTTGGTGTGTTTATAACCACCATGAGAAGGGAGTTGTACTGATTGCATTGATATCACGTGAGTGTTGTTTACAAAATTAATTGGACAAAAAACGAATATCCAGCGCTTTAAACAGATTGATGGATATTGAGGATCTACATAAGGGATTTGAGAAACCTTGATTCTAAACTAATAATGTACACTTTCGAATTCTAATTGATCTATTCTAATACGTCTGAGGTAGTGAATGGAATTAAATCTGATCTCATATTAATAATATCTTTTTGATGGTATTAAAATTCTTCCCATGTATTCATTTATTAGATTAAATTTTTCTCATTATCAACACCATAGAGTTATATGTTTGATCCTTTGTAGTCTCGTGAGTGTATAATGTTCACTCTTTCTTATGTTTAATCGTTTTTCAACTCTGATAACGTCAATTCTTAATGAGAGAAAAGATTCTTATTCAAATTGAATATGAACTAGTAAAATTATACATATTTTTTACGATAATATTTAATCTGGCATATGTATTGAGATCACGAACCGATCTAATTTTGATGACTATTGAAAATGTCGAAGAACTGGATAGTTATTTCATCCTAGTATTTGACTCTTCCACGATTCTATCATTAGCAGTGTAACCCAGAACCTTTGGTTTCCCTAAGCCGGGATCTAAAAGTGTACAAGTTTAACTCTAATCAATTCACAATATTGTCCAACCATTTTCCATTGCCTTCAGTGAGTACTTTCTTCACAGCCGACATAGTTAAAGTCTACTGGTCGCGGTTTCTTACTAAAACACCAGGAATAATAATCATTTCTCAGAGTTGGTCGTTAGTAATCATATATACCGTACTGTTGTGCAGAATTAATGCTTAACCAAACACTATTATTCTATCTATTTTGTTTATTTGTTCACCTAATAAAAATGACTGTATATGTATATCTTTTTATAGCTGTAGATTTTTTCAATCAAATTAATATGCTTTATGGTACATTACTTGAATTTTGTACGGATGATACATGTCCAATTATGTCAGCTGGTCCAAAGTATGAATATCATTGGGCTGATGGACAAACAGTGAAAAAACCATTGAAATGTTCTGCACCACATTATATTGATTGTTTAATGATATGGATTCAAAAACAATTAGAGAATGAAGCTATATTTCCATCGAAAATTGGTAGGTTTTTAGTTGATTAATTATTACTATTAGATTGATTTATTATTAATGTTAAGTGGAGCGATTACATACTACATATGCTAAACATAAAGTACTCTCTTTCATACCAGGGTACTATGTCACAAACTAATCATCTCTTCGCTTTTTCTATCAGTTTCGACGTTGGCAGTTAATACCCGATAAGAAATGTTCTGCGGTGACATTCGTGATGTATATCCAAGCCACCGAAGTTAGTATTTCAAGGCAGTGACATTAGTTGAATGACCGTCACAGGGCCATGACTTCATTATAATTAACATGGTATTACCACTGGATATGTGCAAACCATAAAATTTAGAAAATAACGAATCAACTACAGTAATATGTAATGATTTAGAATTATATCAATAATTTCATAGCGAAAGAGGGACCTATTAATTGAAAGTGAGAAAAAGAAGATAATAATAACAAGTAATATAAATAATGTTTGAGCTTTTAAACCAAAGTGTATGTGATATAATGGTGGGTATCGGAGATCTGATACTGATACACAGCGTGGTATGCGCTAATCCTTCAAACTGACTATATGAACACGAAGACAAAAGTGGAACACAAATTCTATTGGGCTACCGAATAACATGCATAAATACTCACTTATATAAATACATTTCTATCCCTTAGAAAGTCAATTCATTTCTTAGTCAATGAAATGTACTTGCCCGTCAAGTCACTTTTGATTGCCATCAAGTGACCTCATTTGTCTAATTCTGATTAGGTCATCATGTCAATATACAGAGCATACTCAGCAGCATCAGTCAAGGAAATCGTAAATACTGTTGATCTAAGTCGTTTTATCTTCTTCAAATCTAGAATGTGATATCATTATCATGATTTTATGAGGCACTGTAACCTGTACCATTGCAAGTTATCTACACTCTAGATCCAAAACTATCCGTAACCAACTGGTGTTATCATTATTATTAGTTATTCTCTTCGCGCAGTATGCTTTGTTGTATCAAACATTATCACTAACCCATTGCTAGTATATGTGTTTGTCTGTGTTAGTACGGACGTTTTTTTAATTTATGAAGGCTACTAAACATTGGGACATCAACTACTGAGAGTTGAGTGCTTGCAAAGACCCGGAACCACCATAAATAAGTGACCATAGCATTAGACTGACTTATCACTAATCAGTAAACAGTTTCATATTTGATTAGTTTTTCGTGTTGATCTTATTCTATCGATCCATTTGAAATCTGAATACTAACCTCGGTCAATCGACAATATATACACTATGCCATTAAGTTCGGTAGTAATACTGGACAATGTATGCTTGAAAAACCAAGGGGCGGCATTCGTCCAGTCAAGATTCCGAATGCGCCTTGTTGATGATTCCTGTCAACTAGTTAGGAATATATATCCTGGTGCCTCTTGTTTACTGCCTCATGGCTGTAGTTGCTGCCTTGATGTGGTGGTCCAGGATCTCTGTCGTGACGAACCAGTCGAGCTATATTTGCTAAAATACTTATTCCTTCAGGTCCTAGCATACCAGACAGGTCGGTCTAAGATCAGTATTACAAGAGCAGTAAACGGATAGCCTGAAGGTCTGCGGTATATGACAGCAGTAAGTTATTTCCACCAAATAACCAACTTTTCAAATGATGTTACCTTCTCACAACGTTAAAAAACCGACCTTCTCAGTTACCTTGAGAAGAATTATCCTTTTATGATATGGTTGATCAGAACTTGATAACCACCACCGCCGCCTTTAACGACGTTCGACACTATTTTCTCCTCCAGCTACTTTACATCCACACAGATCATTGTTCATATTCATATTTTTAACTGAAATACTACATCTAAAATATTTTTTTTTGAATCGTCTATATGTAATACAATGAGATCAATGTCTATCGAACTATATTTCATGTCATGTTAAAATCATCCGATGATATCTGGATGTTTTTTTTAAAATGAAAACAACATACAAGAAATAAACTTTTTTTTAAAAATGACGTTAGATCATATAGGCAGTTTCTTTGTATTACTATGTCCTTCTCTAGGTCATTTCATAATGTCCTTATTGTTACAGTTTTTAGTAAAAATGAAACTAAACATTTCTAATTCAAAAAAAATATAGTTACCTAGATCTTACTAAAAAGTTTGTAATCGATCGGAAAGAAAATCAATGATACACAGTTTTTGTTTGTTTGATATGTTGAATTGGGACCAAGTGAACAGAGTAAATACTGCATATTTTTGTATTCAACTTTGAGTCATACACTTGTATATATATATATATATATATATATATATATATATATATATATGGAGAGAGAGAGAGAGTCCCTTTGTACTACAGTTTAATTGCAAAAGCCAAAATTGTTAAAACTGTGCTCGAATCTGTAACAGACGAGTGTTTTAACCATCTTGTCCTTTGATCAATTTCTTATGTATAAGTAATTTCCCGACCGTTGTTGCTACCTTGACGTGGTTGTCGGGCTTGCCTATCGTGATGAACCAATCGAGCTATACTGGGTGGAACAATCGTTCCTCAATGTCCTACCATGCCAGACAGGTCGTTCGAAGTCGTACTGTTGACTGTACAGAGGTGTGACAGCAGTAAGGTTTTTCCTTCAAACAACCAGCGTAACAGCGATACTGCCTTCCTACAAGGAGGGGTGGGGTTAGAAAAGGTCGACCCTAAAAATGCACACCCTACCTTATCCCACGGATATCCGTCTCCGGCGGTTAGGTCTCAACAAGTACGGAGCTAACGCGAAAATTACCTACAAAAAGGTCGTGTGTAACCAACCTCAAGCAGTTGGCCTTTGGGCTCTGCGGTCACGCTTTCGAGTCACTAAGATCACCTTTAATCCAATATCCTTTTTGGATACCTCCAGAAGAACCCTCCCACGGTGTGGGCAACCAGGAAGAGATAACCGCCCTCATACCTCTTACAGCACTCAAGACCACTGTATAAGTAATCAATCGTTTTACTGGTTTTCCATGAAACAACCACACGAAAATTAATAATCCTAGTTAACGTAGTTTCTGGAGTTCTAGTGGAAAGCCGTGACCCGTGGGCCTCAACCGTGTTTGGGTTTGAAAAAGTAACCCACTGAACATAATGGCAAATGGTTAACCGATATCATAGATTGATTAAATATACTACTGAATTCGGGCTCAGTGGTTTAGAGGTTAAGCTTTCACCCGCGTGATCGTAGGTCCTAAATCCAACTTCCGGCGGACATGCAGTGCTTAGAAGTCTCATACTGGGACGGAACAGTCGTTTAGTCTTTTCAGTTTTTCAAAGGTTGTCAAACTAAAGTCGGTTCGTAATATTAATGAAATTTATTTATTTATTTAAACACATAAACATTGGTGAAAGGAAACACCAAATAGATATGCACCACATAAATCAATCGATTTATGTGAGGCCTGGGATACTGCCCGGGTGCCCAGACCGAAGCAGCTGGTTTCCTTAGGGGGCCACACTCGGAGCCTTCGAGTTAAAGACCCAATCCATAAGGCAATGGAGCAACGTTAAGAAATCCAGTCCCATTGTACGTGCTTTTCAACAGTTGGTTCATACGCTATTTGTTCCCTCAGGATATTGGAGCTCATGTGCACCATTTGTTTGGAATCAGGGTTTTCCAACTCCACTAGGTGTATTTTCGTGTCCACCAACCCGTTTGAAGCACCGGACATTCGCTTTCGTCCTCTCAATTTTGTAAATAACAGTATGTTATGACTGTGAAAAATATGCTGCTGATTAAGGGTAGCGAATTATTGATCGGACCAAAGACGCACAAACACGTAGAACGGCCTAGGGTTCTGATTGGTCCCGCTTACCCTGTCTAACCCAGCCAGTTGAGTCCAGAACACAAGTTTCAGCCTCGGATATATGAATCATTATATTTCAAACATACTTTGCTTATATACCAAACAAGCAAACCACAACGTACCATAAAATAGAAAATAACATTGTACAATATTGGCCAACAGGAAAATGACACGTCAAATAAATATTGACCAATAAGATGATACCATTCATGTCCAAGGATAGCATTAGGCTTAACAGGATAATTTTTGGGATATTTTCCTGAATATCCCAACACAGTAATACTATGAGAAGCCAGTGAGTAGGGCTTTTATGGCAGTGGTTGTATGCACGTGGCCATTTGTGAGCATTTCGAGGGGAAGAGCTGACTCTCTCTACTCTCGGCCATACCAGGACATTTGGGGGCCGAAATATCATTTAGGTTATTCTTTTAAAAAAAAACGAGAAAACTGTGTAATCAGAGACGGCACCCACGAATGCCCTGATATGGCCGAGGGTGGAGGGAGTCAGCTCTTCCTGTTGGAATTCTCTAACATGGCCACATGTATACAGGCACTGCTAAGGAAGTTCTACTCACCTCCTCGCTATGAGGGGTATTGAGAGGACAAAAAGCAAATGTCCTGCGCTTTAACCGATATAGTGGAAACGGAGAGTGCACCTATTGGAGTTGGAAAACACTCATTCTAGACCAATGATGTACATGGGCTTTATGACCCTGAAGGAACAAATGGTGTATGAACCAATCGTTGATCACTGAGTACCATGTGACTGCATTTCTTGACGTTGCTTCACTGCCTTGTGGATTAGACTTTTAGATCGAAAGCTCCGGGTGTGGCCCCTTAAGAAACCACTTATTCCGGTGTATGCACCCAAATAGTATCATAGCTCACACATAAATCAAGTGACTTGTATAGCGTATATGTATTCAGTGCCCTTTTGTACCACTATTTATATGTTAAACTCCTTTAGCTATTAATTTAAAATTATATTCTTCAATTGTAAAGAAATCACTCATTAGAATGATTATGTAATCATATGAAATACTACCGTTAGTATCTTATTAAATAGAATAATCAATTCATTGTTAAAATATTTATCATTGACATATAATCTGAATATTAAATATATTTTTTAAATAGGTGCTCCATTTCCACGTGATTTTCTTAATGTAGTCAAAGTGATATTAAAACGTTTATTTCGAGTTTATGCACATATTTATTATCAACATTTTTCTGAAGTACGAGATCTACAAGAAGAAGCTCATTTAAATACAAGTTTTAAACATTTTATATATTTTGTATTGGTAAGTATTATTGCCCTATTTCGTTTGTATTTTTATATTTGTCGATCTTTATAGTGGTCTTGATTGTTACTAGGGGTATCTTTCTTTCTGTACTATATCCTTACATGAAAACTTTCCTTTATATAATACACCATTAAGTAAACTGCTTCTATGAATCCGGTGTTTGTCTTGTTTTACTAATGAGATATGGCAACTTAGACCAATGCATGTATATGCCTTGTCCTGTATTATAATTGACTGACTGAAGTACTCTTTATGTAAAAGGAGGACACTGAGCGAGCTTGTTATGGCGTTTAGTTTCTTATATCCTGAATAAATTGTTAGAAATTCAAATTATAGGATTAAGAGTCCTAATTCCTATTGATCCACACAGCTTCTCTTATCCCTAGTAGCTTATCAGAAATGATGATGGATGATGCATGTCCCATCCCCATATCAATTCGTTCAACATTAGAAGGTATGGATTGTTGATGAGTTCCAATTAGCACGAGACTTAAATCGAGCAGAGTGTCCTAGCAACTAGGTCCAACTATTTAACAATAATAATTCCAATACATTTACAATAAAATGCTTACGTATATATCTTCTATATATCTACAACTGAATAATAGGGTATAAATCAAAACATTTCTTTAAATAATACTTGTGTTATAGTGCATAAGCTGCTCTTTCAATCAAGGATGTACAGTGGCTAGCAGTGGAATCCAGTTTGATGCGCGTTTCGTCCTATCGAGACTCGTCAGCTGGATGTACCTGCACCGTAGAGTTGATTTTCACTCCGGGACTCCGGATGCACATGTGTCAACATGAAACTGATCAATTTCAGTCCTAAATAACAATGGGAAGATACAAGTAAAACAACACCAAGTGAATTTAAACTGCACCCCATTGCACAAGTATGTGGCCATCAGGACTCAGTAGCTAAGTGGACAACGCGGTGGCGTTTGAAGCGAACGGTACTGGGTTCGAGTACCAGAGTGAAGATCAACTCTGAGATGCAGGTACATCCAGCTGAAGAGTCCCGAATAGGACGAAATTCGCGTCCTCCATTCCACTGCTAGCCACTATCCATCTTTGCTTAAAAAGCTTATGACTTAAGGCTATTATATCGAGGCAATCCATACAGGATGCACATATACCAACATGAGACTGATCAATTGCAGTCCTATATAACAATGGGAAGATATAATTAAAACAACATCAAGTAAATTTGCTCTCTCAATGTTTAACATATTTGCTTGTTTTGTTTTGTTTTTCTACTTATAGGAATTTAATTTAGTTCAAAAACGTGAACTTGTTCCATTACAACACTTAATTGATTTATTAACAACAAATGAATCTACCACAAATGATGAACATAATAGTAATGATAATGGTTCTACATCACATAATTATTCATTACATACAACTACTAATGATAATAATATAAGTAGTATAATCAATGATAATTAAATATTACATATCTCTATTAGATATAATATAAGAATATATCTTTCATAATGATCGTTATCATTGATAACGACAACGATCATAATCATGATTTATGCCTTAATCTATTCTTATATTGACTTCTTTCTTTGATATATATATATATATATATATATATATATATATATATCTTGTATGTGGTACTCTAGCGTTTGCATGGAAACTACCATATATTTTTAAATTTGTTCTATATGTATGAGTTAGACGAATATTTCTTTTCTGTTGGTATACCAAAAATAAAACACAATTTATATGTATATATTAAAAATAAATACATAACAGACAGGTGACTTCATATTCTGTTAAAGGTATAAGGAAAGTTGTCGATTCCCCGATTACCTGTCCACACTATAAAAAAATATTCCTTCTTCGAGGGGTGTCAATTGAAAATGCAATTAGGGTCAATGGTATTATTAACGAGTTGGGAATGTAATCGAACAGCCGAAAGGAACAACTGCTTGGGGATGGTTATACACATTTCGTGGAAATATTTTAATCTATTTGCTTTATACTTCAAAATGCTTTACTGTTATAGATGGAAATTCATGGGGTAAAATAAGTTGTGACATTTTTAGGCCCGACCTTTTCTAACCTCTTCATTCTACTACGAGAAAGCAGTATCTTTATAGATGATAGTTATCTAATGGAAAAACTGTACTACTATTATACCCCTGTACAGTCGTCAGTTCGACTTAACCTCTGGCTTTAGTTTCATCGTCGTCCTCCAGTAGACCTGCCATATATATACCCTTGTGGGTCAGGGTAATGTTAAATTGGTTTTCAGAAGGACAAGACATTCACATGACAACCCAAACAGCACAGCTCAATCCCGTTTGACAGGAGAGCCAAACACCACCAGGCTTAAGTTTTATAACCCGAGCAGTACAGCTGAATCCCGTTTCACAGGAGAAATAGACACTGTATAGGCTTTAACGCTACAGTCTGAATAGTACAGCTCAATCATGTGGCGCAACCACACAGGTACAAAGCACCCTAGTGGACCATCCAAGACATGTCACTATATCTCGGCTGAGTTATTACAATATGCAATCCCAACCTACCACTTTAAGGTAGTAGTTACAGTCGGGAAATACATTATCTTGAGAGCGGATATCCTTACTGTGGTGATAAGCGTTTGTTCAAAATAAATTTTACGTCAATCAGAAGGACAACCACATTATTTGTAGGTGTTTGAAGCGAAAGGTACTGGCTTGAGTTCCGATGGGGCATCAAAACTTTAATACAGGCACATTCAGTTGACGAGTCTTAAGCGGGATGAAATTCACCTGGATTCCACCACCAGCCAAACTACCACCTATTCTGTAGAAATAGGTTAAATATCTGTTTATACCCCTTTCACAGATTCTCTGAATGTGAGAGTGATAGCTTACTATTTATAGTATTGAACGTTTAGCCACTGACTAACTGGGTTATAAGTTGAAACCTGTTCTACTTACAGTCTGAATTGTATCGTTTGACATAATTTAAAAATGAATCGATAAGCCACCACTCTATTACAGAGTTGCCTTAAGCATTTGTAGTAATAAATGAAATTTCATTTTCATCGGATATATCTCTAGTGGATTAATAATATCTGAAAGGGGTTTTGCGGAGATTGTAGTAATTTAATAGTTGGATTCATGAGTCATTTAAAGCTAGACCACTATGGAAAACCTGGAAGCACTAGTGACTGGCCTCAAGAGGTATTCCCTGGAGTTCTAATGAGAAGCCGTGACAGTGGAATTCAACCGGGTCTGTTGTAAGATTGTGACTCACTGGAGACGGTGGTTCGATTTCGTGGATTGGTTGAAGTTAGACTCTGTAGACCGCGAGACTCTATGGCAGTGTCTGTCATTGAAAGGCGTACCTCAGAAGTACATAAACCTTGTGAAGGCTCTTTACTCGAACACTACTAGTCGAGTCAGGGCTTATGGCGAACTGTCATCTACTTTTGCAACCTCAAGTGGTGTCCGTCAAGGCTGCCCACTTTCTCCATTTTTGTTTAACTTCATCATAGACCTATTGATGGAAATAACACTCTCGTCGACTGAATTCTCGGGTATTGATCTCCTTCCAGGAGGTCCACTTATCGACTTAGAATACGCAGATGACATAGTCCTGTTTGGTGAAGACGCTGACAAAATGCAGAGTCTTCTGGTAGCACTAAGCAACAATGCCAGAATGTTTGGGATGCGCTTCTCTCCCTCTAAATGCAAGTTGTTGCTTCAGGACTGGTCTGCGTCAACACCTGAACTAAGGATAGGGAGTGAAGTAGTCGAACGAGTTGACAACTTCACTTATCTTGGAAGTCTGATCAGCCCTAATGGGTTGGTGTCTGACGAAATCTCAGCACGGATTCGTAAAGCTCGTTTGGCTTTTGCCAACTTACGTCACCTTTGGCGGAGGCGAGATATCCGTCTATCAATAAAAGGACGAGTATACTGCGCGGCAGTCCGTTCTGTCTTACTCTACGGCAGCGAAACATGGCCTTTAAGAGCAGAAGACACCCGTAAGCTACTAGTATTTGACCACAGATGCCTTAGAAATATTGCTGGCATCTGCTGGGATCACCGGGTAAGTAATAGTGAGGTTAGACGCAGGGTATTAGGGAATGATGGTAAATCAGTTGATGAGGTTATGAATCTTCATCGACTGAGATGGTTGGGCCACGTATTACGTATGCCTGAACACCGATTACCACGACGTGCAATGCTAACCGGTGTAGGGGATGGTTGGAAAAAAGTTAGGGGCGGCCAAACCAAAACGTGGCATCAGTGCTTGAAGTCACTAACTTCTAGTCTTAGCCATGTTGGTAGATGCAGACTACTTGGTTGGGGTCCGCGTGACTTTCGTAACCAATGGTTGGAGACTCTTGGTGACATGGCCCAGAATCGATCACAATGGCGTCGGTGTATACACTCCCTGTCTTCCCTTAAACTAAGAGATTAAAATCACTTCATACCTTTCTTTCTACGAACTAATTCTTCCTTCCTATACTATATCCTTATTGCAACCTTTGACCTAACCACTCCTATGAATCCGGTGTTCATCTTGTTGTGCTAATGAGGTATGGCAACCTGGACCGATGCACATATGTGCCTGGTCCTACGTTGTAGCTGACTGACTGACTGACTGAAGTTAGACATTAACAGCGTTGGATACCAGCTCAGCGATCTAGAGGTTAGGCGTTCGCGCGCGTGATCGAGGATGCCCGCTGCTTCGGAGTCCCATACTAGAATGGAACGACTATCCAGTGGTTCCATGGTGTTCTAGCTTTAATCGACTCATGGATTAATAAATAGTACTCATAAATGAGAATAACACTGAAAAATAGGCACTAACTTGATGATTGATTCCCAAATATGGTTATCCGATTCCTAACCACTTAGACTGAAGGTCACATAACTAATTCGTTAGGGCCTGACCGAAAATCTTATTCTTTATTACTCAGGTATCAGTGTAAAAATATCAAATTTGTAGAGATAAATCACTTAATGAATAGTTCAATTGTAATATCTGTTATGACCTTGATGTCTGGCTTTCTATCACGCGACTTATCGACCAGTCAGAATGCGACTTATACAATTTCACACTATGCCAAACCAATGACGTTCAAGCGGTATGGGCAGTTTAGCGTCCTGATCGGTCCTATGTCCTCCTAACCCTTCCACTTGAGTCCAGAACACAGTACCAGCTACTGTAATATGAATTGAATCAGATCAGATCGGTTATTTCAACATACTTGGTTTATACATCAATCAGACAGACCACAACGTACCATAAAATAGAAAATAACATGTGTACACAAATAAGCCAAAAAGTGGCTGTGAACGAGGGGACAGTAATTAACAGACTGAGCATAGCTTAAGAACCGTAAATCGTACAATGATAAATTATAGATCAAAATAAAGCTTATAATAGGAGGAATATAAATATACATAATGTAATTATTCAATAGTTTTACAATAAGAATATTTATAGAATATTAGTCCATTAATAGGCCTCAGAAGTTACCTGTAATTTAATCTTCACCGGGATACAACAACATCTTCGATCCCTTGTAAAATTGATTTCAGTTTTAAAGGAAGGGGTATTTCATATGGCTACTGATGATTGACCTGGTTTTGTGGAGATTTCTGAATACATTTTTAGTATTAGTAATAATTTAAACACTTAACTAAGCAAGTTAGAAAAAAAACCTGGGTCTTTTTTTCAATTTGCTAGATCCTTCTTCTGGAAACTATACAAACACTCTAATTAACTGGGTAGAAGGTTTATTGTAACATTGAAAAATAGAATAGATTTGTGCTCTTGATAACTATTCAAAAATTCAAGTCCAATCAGCGTTGGGACTAGAACAAACGTTCATCAATTGAATCAATACAGAGAAAAAGCTTAGAACAGTGAAACATAAAGTTCTTAAATAAATATAAAGTCATAATAAATGACTTTCTTAGACTCCTTTCTATTGTTCTAATATAATTGAAAAACTTCAAACGTTCCTATAAAATTATCCCACTCATTCTTAGATGATAAAAGCGATAGAACTAATCACAAATAGGTTAATGCCACAATGACTGAGGCTTTTTTTAATTTTAAAACCTGAAAATCTGTTGAATGTAATACTTCCATAGTAACTGATTGTTTAGAACTATTGGGTCATTTTATTATCTGAGATTTCCATACACATAATCATAGTAAAATCTAGATGAGTAATTCTGTGTTCGATTCACTGGAAAAAAGAAGTGGTGGAGAAGATTTGTAGCTCAATTGGATGAGTTCAATGAAGTTTTGTTCTCTGAGCTGAATGCTTTGGTCGTGAAGCTTCCATCGTCCTTCTGAACGATGAAGTTTGTACTAATGATGTCGTTCACAGGAACAATGAAAGCTCCACGACTAAACCATCCAGCTCAAAGAACAAGAACTGGAAAGTTTTTGTTCAGTTAATCAAGTCAGTGGTTATAATACATTTTATGTCAAAATTATGATACAACTACGTATATCAAGTTCTATTCCGTTTAAATTTGAGCTGTACTACAGAAGTAGTGGTGTATTGGTTAAATGACACAAATATTAATCAGTGTATCATAGATTTTATCCAATGTTTCGAGGATTCATCAGTTGAACATGTAAATACACATGCTTACATACCCAACCTTGCAGTTGAACAGATAGTTTTTGTAACTTAGTAGTTTTGTAAATACTTGAGATGATGAGTTCCGGTGTCAATTAGATTGTATATTCCAACTGGAAAAATCTCATTTACTGTATACTTATTTTTTTATTCCTACATAAAATACCTAACTAGGATTCTCTGATCAGAATAGATCACT